CATATGTTGTCAATGTGTGGTCCATGTGTTGTCAATGTGTGGTCCATATGTTGTCAATGTGTGGTCCATATGTTGTCAGTGTGTGGTCCATATGTTGTCAATGTGTGGTCCATATGTTGTCAATGTGTGGTCCATGTGTTGTCAATGTGTGGTCCATATGTTGTCAATGTGTGGTCCATATGTTGTCAATGTGTGGTCCATGTGTTGTCAATGTGTGGTCCATGCATGGTCAGTATGTTACTGTTACAAAATGTAGTCAATGTGTTCCCCCCCCAGGCTATCGGCGCCCGTAACCTGCTCAAGTCCATCGCCAAGCAGCGAGAGTCGCAGCAGCAGCAGCTCCACGCCCTCATCACCGAGAAACGCATGCAGATGGAGAGGTAACTCGGTGCTTGTCGTAGTGGTCGTGAGGAGAGTTGTACAGCATGTGCACACCAACAAAAAAAAAAGAAGGAGGAGAGATAAGATCTTGACCTACGCCAAAAGAGGGCATTGCCCTACCTATAGGAGAAGTTTGGTTTCAGTGGTGTGTGTATAATTTGTTTGGTTATAGAGAAAACTCTCCTAGCGTTTTAAAGAAACTGAACAAGGGGCAAAAACTTTTCCATTGTGAATAAAAGCGACCATGTGAACTCTACGTTTCCCACAGGAAACCTTATCTCTGTAGTCTATTCAATATTGATAGGAAGTGTGACTTTGTCTAACTTTGTGTTTTGATTGAATTGTGTTTGTGTAAATTATATTTCCAGGGGAAATAACCCACCAGTGTTCAGGACAACTGATTTCATCCAAAGTTGTTTCTCTTCCATCACAGATCGCTTGACACTCTTCGACGTTGCCATCCACACCTTGGCGCTCATATGACCTTATGCAGTTGCGAGCATGGCAAAACTGCACTAAAACTAAACTTAAACACTCTTACTAAACCCAAAACTACAACTTATCGTCTTTCATTATCTTTCCCAGACTGCGAATCCAACAGGACGCCCTACTGAAGGAGGAAGCCAGTCAGAACGAGTTTATTGAGCAGTTGATATTACAGAAATGATACGCTGTTGTTATATTTTACTGTGGGGAGGGGGGG